CCCCAAAACCCCAAAACCCCAAAACCCCAAAACCCCTGGAGTTTTTAAGGAAATTGAATAAATTTATGAAGGAATCTCAGTTGGTATTGACTAGGTTCATCGAAGCAAGGGAGATGTATAAGTGTTAAGGGAGGTGTGATAATTTATTAGAGTAAGGAATGGTTTAGATGCTTGAACTTTATTTCAAATGATTGAAAGAATAGCTTATTTACATTCATGAAAGAAGGCTTAGATAGTTTCAAAATTTTCATTGTCAAAATGGCTTCTAAATTTTATCTTTCTATAAATTCTCAATACTAAAAATTCTATTTTCTGTGCTTGGTGTCCTAATAGGGACTAGAGGTGAAGATCCTTTGTCACCATTTATTCAATCAAAAATGGGAGTTTGTAGTGGCTATAAAGTTAAAAACTCCTTACTAACTTCGGAATTGCAAACGTGATATTTTGGGCATCTTCTGAGCTCTTCATCAGTGATTCCATAACTCGTGACTATAATTCACAAGATCGGTATACCTTAACATGTCTGTAGTTATTCATATCACTTTTGCCTCTTTTTCTAGTAATTAGCTTATGGATTACTTCTTCAGCCGTTTGATCAACATTCTGCGCGATTTAGCATCTCTTGGTGACTTGATTCCGAGGAGGTTAAATAATGGATCTAGTTTTTTATTAATATCCTTAGTTTTCTCTATTTATAAGGACACAGCACTACTTGATGGGCCAAAATCGATCCTGAGCTCAGCCGGGCTCATAGGCCTGAACATAGCTGCTTCTTTGGATAACTTATCAATTTGGTTTATTTTGCCTGAGAATACCTTGAGCATCTTATTTATGATGCTCAATCCTCTTACTGTTGTTTCTACGATGGTTTAGAATTTATTAGATTATGAAAGGCTTACTTCTGAAAGTATTTAATAATGTTGTTCTTATTTCATTGGAGATTTGGTTATTTCAATCGGTCTAGATTAAATCTAAATGAGTCACAATTACTTGTACTATAGACTTAGACAAGGGAGGTTACTTTAAATTCTCCTCCATTCTGCACTTGGATTTGCATTACTGGAGAGAGATTCTCATACTCAGATTCTTTATCCACTTCTTTGCTCTTGCTCTTCCCATCAGTTTTTAATGAAGGGATGTATTTGATCGAGTTATTCAATCCGGTAATATGAAGAATCTGAGATCTATTCTTCTGGACCTCTCTAAAGGATAAAATCTGCGATATACTTTTCTCGAATCAAGTTTTGGTTCTTAGAAGAAAGAAAGGAAAGTGCGGTCTCTCTTTCTTTAGTATAATGGGGCAATACTTGTGGACTTTGAGCTTTAAATCGCTGGATACTGTTTATCTCAAGATTCCAAAGCTTTGGGTTTTCATTATAATATTCCTGCTCTTAGTCACGCTCTTACTTTTCTGGTTGCTACTTTGAGTTTCTTCGCAGAATCTAGGAAGCGGTTCTGGGCTAAGGAATCGAACTTGTTGTTTCTTTTTCCTAAAAATAAGGTTGCTTGTACCTTCAGATTCTAGTTGCACGACTTGTTTTTATAGCTAATTCTGGAATTTTGGAGGCGCCTATAAAGCATAGATCATTTTTGTAATATAAGAGGTTTTTGAAAAATTAGGATAATGATTTGAGAATTGAAGGAAATAGTAAATCTATCTTGAATTTTTTGAAGAATGATTACCTTCTCCTCTGTTGAGTAATCTGTTTAAGAATATTATTCTCAGTGCATCTTATTGTTGGATAATATGAAGCTTTGAATGATATCTAGATGAAATTATGAAATTAGTAAAGGATTTTAAATATAATTCATAGGACTCATAAGCACTGTGCGTATTTCAAGTCTTTATATTGAGTTATTAAATCCCCATAGGACCAAATATAGTTATAATAAATCAAACATCACACATCGAAAATTTTACTACCATTCCAGCTCTCTCCAAATCTCAACCCTTATTTCCTACCATCCCTCTTCTTCACCGCTCTGGCATCTCAAGAGCTCCTCTATCCTTCCAAAGCCCCTCTTAACCCCCAAAAACTGCTTTAAAGACCTACCATTTCCTGTTGCATTATAAATATTTCAAAATTGATTATAAATCTGGGGTTTTGGGGTTTTGGGGTTTTGGGGTTTTGGGGTTTTGGGATTTTGGGGTTTTGGGG